GGAAATTTTGAAAAGAACCCCTAAGAGGTACCAAGATCCTGTTTTGTGGGCGTGGCTTGAAATTTTTTTCACCCATAAGGGGTACTGATTCGAATACAAAACACTACCTCCGGTCATAATGTTTACGTCTCAATACCTTAAAAGGTACCACAAATTAAAAGCTCCCGCTGTGAAATTTTTCAGGCTGAACACCATACGAGGTACCAAAACCACTTTTTTAACCTCTAAAAGGTACGACGAGCACCCCCTCCTTTTTAGATGGGTCCCCCCCCGGAATGGCCCACCGTCACCGCGANACCTCCGGTCATAATGTTTGCGTCTCAATACCCTCAAAGGTACCACAAATTAAAAGCTCCCGCTGTGAAACTTTTCAGGCTGAACACCATACGAGGTACCAAAACAACTTTTTTAACCCCTAAAAGGTACGACGAGCACCCTTCCTTTTTACATGGGTTCTCCCCCCCCGGAATGGCCTACTGTCACCGCAAGGCTTTCAAATTAATTTTCACCCTCTAAAACGCCTTTTCAGTTTTTAACTATAAACAAATTTTTTCTTTACAATTTCCATTGAATGTCTTGGTAAATGAGCTGCTTCCAAGCGGGTAATTCCATGCGTAAAGATGGCTCTATTACTGCACTTGAGAATGAACCGAAACGAACGCAACGCAGATTTTTGCAAACCATGTTATTGATTCATTATTACGAGAGGTAGCGCCTTTCTACTTCCGGGTGTCGGTTCATTATCAGTTATAGCTGATTGCATCTTCTGCAATAGCAGGATCTCAAACCTCTACTTTGTTTCACTTGAGAATGAATTTACGATGTAAATATTTTTGGCCAGCTGACGCCGAGGCTAAAATTTATTAACGAACCGGTTCCGGTTCGATTCAATTGATCGACTCGACATGGTAGTAAAATTTGCAGCCACTTTACGTCTATATACAGACTTTAATTGGTTTCACACAATCGTAGAAGTACTCGATACAAATACAAGCAGAACGAAAGTTAAATGCGAGATAAGTTAAAGACTAAAGTTACTCGAGTTTCACGCTTGAAGTGATCATCAGACTGGCGAGCGCTTCAAGTGTGAAACTCGAGTAACTGTAGTGTTTACCTTACTTCGTATATACAGACTTAAATTGTCTATTGGGAAACTGACTAAAAATTATGTTTGCCTCCCTGTACTGTTCCAAGGGACCCACACAAATGAAATCACTGTTCAAACCATATACTTCTAAATGTTCCCTCTAGGCGTCGAGATTATAAAGATCTTTGGCAACATGTAAGAAACAAATTCAAGACTTATAAGTTAATGGATCTTCAAGTTGATAACACACTCACCGGCACGACGGTTTCTTTCAAACTTGTCGAAACCTATCTTCTGATACATCTTCATAGAAAACCTTTACAGTTTTCGTTGATTTTCAGTTGAATTTTTATTTATCACTAATAATTCCGAGAACTCTGATTTCTTAGAATTTCAAAGGGCATGCGCTTTCAACCTTCGCGTGTTCAGATCGCGTGAATCGAAAGACTCCGCCAAACGACTGGGCTCTAGGTCGTAATCACGCGATTGGTCACATGACCAGGTGTCAAGATTCATTCACGCNGCGTGTTCAGATCGCGTGAATCGAAAGACTCCGCCAAACGACTGGGCTCTAGGCCGTAATCACGCGATTGGTCACATGACCAGGTGTCAAGATTCATTCACGCTTGAATTTGGGCGGGAATTTTAATACGAGCTAACGGATTTTCAGTTATCTTGATCTGAATTCAATTTTATAGGTCGTTTCTTTGCACAATTGTGTCAATATAGTTTGCAATTAACTTCTAACTCAACACTGGAGTTGAACGGGGCTGTTCTTTTAGAGAATATACGCGTGTCTATTGCCATCCGCAGTGAAGTTTCCATTATTCACTGGGGACACTAGAAGGTAGGCATTGAAAGACTTTTTTTCGTTTTGTTTTACAGATGAGTTACCTTAATTTACGGAAAAATAAAAGCCGGAATTGAGGATGGCTTTGTGGCAAGCCAATTGTTTTCCTTAGGGCGCTTCCGCTCAAAGGGATTAATTGACAACCGTACGCGACACACTTCCTATTCACTGGCTTTACTTATTTTGAGCGTATGTCGTATTGTACTTCAGTTTCTATCAATCTCGTAGCGGTCACATCGGTTTTCTACCTCGTGTAGTTTTTATCCCACCCACCCTAGGCGGCAGAGGTTTATTTCTCAGTTTTTATGTTCCATGATTTACCTCGTGTCTTCGGATGTGGAAATAAACTTCTATCTTAGCTTGGCCAAGCACAAACAGTGTTGTTTATGTGTTATTGGCGGGGACAATTGCGGACTAAATAAGGAGAGCGAGAGCCAAGTTGGCCGTGGTCACTTTCAATCTTCATTTCGTGCAGCTCGATCTGCTGTAAAGTGTTGTTTTAATATTATATATATAAGCTTAACTAAATGCATTTTAGAAGCTTCATGTTATTGAGCTGTCTCTATCACTTTGCCCCCACTACCATTTAGATTGTTGGGATTCGAGGCTGCTCTCAAGGTACTCAAGGTGACAGAGGTGATACCATAACGGAGAAAGGTGAGTCAAATGTTAGTTCTATAGATATTCTCGTGTATCCTAGAACCCGGGGAGGGGGGATACTCCCAGAAAAATTGGGTGGAGGTGTGCAGCCCGCTTCACAAAACCCTTACCCTTCTTATGACCCAAATCTGTGATATTCCCTACCCTATTTATGACCTGACCAAAAATTTGAAACCCTATTTATGACCTGACCATTAAATCAAAACCCTGCTTCAGACCTGAGTTATAATTATTCTCTAGTTCAGACCAATGTTAAATTACCATAAAGATAGTTTGTGAAGGGCTTTTGTTGATTTTCTTTTCGATAGTGATGAAAAAGTGGCTTCTTCTTAAAACCATTAACCCATATTTGGGCTAGTGTAAAAACCATACCCTGTTTATGACCAAAATGGCCAAAAACAGCTAAAATTGATACCCTATTTATGACCAAAATGGCTGAAAAGCCATACCCTTTGGGGCCGCACATACTTATATAGCCCATATAAGGGAGTAACCCCCCGGACCTAGAACATCAATATTTATGACTCTGCAATCTTGACTGGGTTTCTTTTTCTTTCACCATTTGTCTGGCCATGTAGCGAAATCCGTTGATACTGCTGCAAAAGGCACCTCAGTTAGCGACATTCGCAATTTTGGTAGATTTTATGCCCGGGGGGGAGGGACTCCCCTATACGGGCTATATAGGTATGTGCTGCCTCAAAGGGTGTGGTTTTTCAGCCGTTTTAGTCATAAACAGGTTATCGACTTTGTCAATTATGGTCATAACTAGAGCATGGTTTTTACAAGTTTTACTCTGTATATGGGTATGTTTTTAAGAAGAAGCTACTTTGCCATCATTATCGAAAGCCCTTCACAAATTATGGTTAAGGGACAATTTAACATTGGTCTAAACTAGGGAACTTATCATAAGGCCTGTCTGAAAGAGGGTTTTTACAATAACTGTCTAATTTCTCGCATGCTGATTGGCTCATTTTTATCATCAATAAGAGTACAGATGGATAAAATTTTAATTTATGCAACCTTTCAAGCTCAACTTTCAGCTGTCAAACTGTCAACTTTTTAACCAATGAGATTTTATGGACTTTTCTAAGAAGCCAATCAAAAAGCGAGAAAAGCTTTTGACAATGTTCCCGTCATTTTGAATAAAATTCACTTATCTTTGTTTACCGCAAGTTTACGGCGTCTTTTCCCCCCATCTATTCCTGGCATTTGACCATTTTCAGGTCTTGTTATTGTAAAAAACAAACTGAAGTCACTTAGTTTTTAATGCATCTGTCCTCTTATTGACGATAAAGTTCATCACAACATGGTCAAAGTTTACTGCAAAATTAATTGCCTGCGGCTCGTGGTTCCACAGACACTTTGACAAAGTTATGATGCAATTTATTATCAGTAAGAGGGCAGACACAAAAAAAAACTCACGTCAATTTGTTAAATTGATTTAAATTTTGATTTGATTTTGCTTGATTTAAGGGTCAGGTCATAAACGGGGTATCAAATTTTTGGTCAGATCATAAATAGGGTAGGGAAAATCACAGATTTTGTTCATAAATAGGGTAAGGGTTTTGGGAAGCAAGCCGCACACCCCCACTCAATTTTTCTGGGAGTACCCCCTTGGGATTTTATGGGCGCTTGAATGCTGTTGGGGGTACCCCTCCACCTATATACATCTGTGAAATGTCTCAGCTGTCTTGAATTTGATAAACTATATTTTCGCTGTTTTGGTCAAGGTGTGACTGTCAAACTTTTTTTTTTTTGCTAAGTTTAAAGTCGTCTTTCCAGCAGTGTCCTTAGACAGGTCTATATTAAATTCAGACCTGATTATTTGTTTGGAAAGTTTTATCAATACCTCTAGAGCACTGTTTTACCATTGAGAACAGAAGATTAGTTTGAACAACCTGTGTATTTGAAAATATTTGTTTGACAACCCTTGTCTGTTGTGATAAATGACCTAACTGTTCAGTTGAGGACCATCCTACTATTCTCTGGGTTTGTTTGACCAACTGCTAATAATATATATTTAAACTGTGAATTACACGTAAATTATGGCTGACTCTTAAAAGCCATCTGCTTTCAATTATATAAACAATTTTGAAGTTCAACCAAATGATAGAATTATATACTGCTGATAGCCTCCACCAGTTGAGAATGATTTTATGCAAATGAAATTGTCTCATGTATATGCAAATCATGTAAATTTCAATTCAATGTGGAACTCAGTGGATTTTCTTATTCATTTATTCATTTATTTATTTATTTGTTATCCCAGGGTGCCCAATCCATGATTGGAAAAACATTTTATCAATCAATTGTTATCAATCAAGAAAATTACTTAATTGGTATTGATAGGTATTGGTCAAT